GTGTGTGTGTGTGTGTGTGTGTGTGTGTGTGTGTGTGTGTGTGTAGTGCCCTGACGGCTACAGGATCATATCCCCGACTCCAACGTCTCTCTGCCAGGCTTTCAGTCTATACGTGCAGACAGRGATTTAAAGAGCAGCAGGAAAAAGAAAGGAGGTGGATTAGCAGTGCTTGTCAACAACAGATGGTGTCATCCAGGACATGTTACCGTGAAGTGTCATTATTGCAGTCCAGACAATTGAACTCTTGGCGGTAAGTTTCTGTCTATACTATTTACCAAAAGAGTTCACCAGTGTTATTTTGGCAACTGTTTGCATTCCACTCTCAGTTGTTGCTGACAATGTTATGATTTTTGCCTGCCTGCCCAGTCCTGCCCCTGTTTTCGTTGTTTTGCTTTCCAGTTATTTCCCATGCCAAGTTCTCAATCWCCACTGAGCTCTGAAGAAATACCGAACACAGAAACTAGTTTAAAACATTTATTTAGCAACAAAGAGTCAAGGTTGAAGGTCTGATAGGAGTCTGGTACTGGGCTGGATACTTCTGGACACAGAGAAGGTTTCAGTGGCAGAACAGTACTGGGTTTTGCAATCTCAGAAGACAATCAACCACAGACCGGGTATTAGTTGTAGTGGTCCRGCAGTTTACRCTGTTAATATCCAGGTGGATTTGGTGCTGGATCTTGACATCACCAAAAAGATTGGCTGACTGTTTAAAGTGGTTGAGCAAAAGCAGAGTCGGGGGACAGGCAGGGGTCAAATCCAGAAAGAGAGCTTTGTTTATCAGAACCAAGGGGCTGAGCGGAGTCCGAAAATCCGTGGGACAGGCGTGGGTCACAAACCAGGTGATCTGAGGTGCAGTGATGCCAGCAAGGGGGAGAGACAAGAGGCAATAATCCAAAACACAGAGCTGGGGTCAAAATCAGGAGAACAGATGGCTGGACAAATCTGATAGGGGCTGAGGCAAGAATCAGGAGACCAAAGGACAGGCAGGGGATCAGGACCACAAGAGCAAGGCATGAGGACAAGAAACGCTGGTAAGTAACAGTACAAGGCTGATGACAAACTGGCAGGGAAATGAGGGTGAGAGCAGGAATATATACTGAGGGGAACAGGTGAGTGGAATGAGCTGATTGCAGGAGGGAGGGGGGTGGTGGATCAGTAATTTGTACTGGTTGTGACAGGAGCAGAGTGGTGATTGAGAACTTGGCATGAGAAATAACTGTGGAAAGCAAAACAACGAAAACAGAGGCAGGACTGGGCAGGCAGGCAAAAATCATAACAGACAATGCATGTGACATTGTCAGTTCTATTTTTACTAAGATACAGACACAACACCCCAATGCATTTGTTGCAATATCTGGTGATTTTAATCATGCCTCACTTTCTGCTACACTGCCAACGTTTCAAAAGTTTGTCAGCTGCTTTAGCAGAGAAAACAAGACAATGTTAAGAATTCATGTATCGCCAATGCAAGACCTCTGGGTAATTCAAATTACAACCTTGTTTATCTCTGCTTAAAATATAATAAACACCATCCCCACCAGAACAATGAGATGCTTCCCTTATAAACCCTAGATCACCAGTGAGTTAAATGAACTCACTGTCCATCCATCCATCCATCCATTTTCTGTACACGCTTCTTCCTTTTCAGGGTTGCGTGGATGAACTCACTGGTTAAATGAAAAAAGTTAAATGAACTGTTCAACAAGAAAAAACAGCCTTTAGGGAGCGAGAGAGGGAGTTACTGAGGCATATACAGAAGCAGCTCAAAGTCAAGATCAGAGACAGCAAGGAAGGAAGCTGGAGGGTAAACTGCAAAGGAACAATTTCAGAGATGTGTGGTCAGGGATGAAGAAGATCACAGGCTTCAAGCAAAAGGGGGATCAAATGGATGGAAGTCTGTCTTCAACCAACTCAGGAGATGCTGCTGCTCCCTTTCCCTCTTCCTCCCACCTTTCTGTCAGGTGAAGAGGCAGCTAGAGAGACTGAAATGGAATAAGTCGGTGAGGATCATGTTCTTTTATTTCTCCAGTGCTTTTAACACAATTCAGCCTGAGTTGCTTTGTCTGAAACTCCAGAAGACTCCGGTGGAGGCCTCAACAATCRCCTGGTTTAAAGACTACCTGACAAATAGACCACAGTTTGTGAGACTGAAGAACTGTGTGTGTAACCATGTGGTCAGCAGCACAGGAGCACCACAGGGAACTGTACTCTCACCATTCCTGTTCACACTGTACACTTCAGACTTCCAGCACAAGTCAGACTGCTGTCATCTA